ATGAGCGATAGGCGATTCGCTCTATACTGTAAATCTAAGTTGAACCTCGCTCTACAAAATAGTACTCAGAGCTTCTCGAAACACTTCACTACAAGAAAGTTATCTACAATCAAACAGTGTGCACATTTTTTGGGACACCCTGTATTTCACAAGAAGACTCTTTATTGCTTTAAAAAGTGCCAATGTTCTGTTTATTTTCCCGGTTAGCAGTATTGAATTACCTATCTCTATATAGCCCTGCATTTTGGCAAATCCTGAGATTTTTCACCTTCGCTTTCTGGTCGGGAAAAATACAGCAACTATATATATGAACCAGTGGCGTACCGAGGGGGGGGGGGGCGGGGGTTTTTGAATGTTACTTACAAGGGAATGGTCAGAAGTCGAAGTGGCCAATCCAAACAAGCTACATACCATTCGATGCAACATAGAACGCTGATTTCAAATCTGCCTTCCGTATCTGCAGAGCGCCTTTGTAGGCGAAGTTATGAGCAGCTTTACTGCGAAAAAACCGTATACAAAAATTGCGAAATTAGGCACATTATTGCTGTTTCAGCTCACATCTAGGTACGGGTCATATGAACTGACCTAGTTGCATGTTTTGGTCCAACACTGAGCCGAGAATGGCTTTGTACGGCCAAGTTTGCATTTTACGTGCACAATTTCTTGGCAAAATGATGGCCTTCAACTTCTTATAATTTCGTCCACAAAAGCGCTCTGCAGATAAGGAAGACAGATTTAGAGTCAGCATTTTATACTGCATTCAATGGTATGCAGCTTGTATGGATTGGCCACTTCGACTTCTGACCATTTCCTTGTTAGATGTGTTATAAAAATGTTCAAAGCATTTGTTTTTACTTGTAAATAATTAAAACAATTTAAAAAATTTTAAAAAGTGAAATTAGCCTTGTATAATAAAAGAAATTTTTTCGGCATGGCTGTCTCCACGCCCCCTTTTCCTGAAATTTTGGGGTTAGGGCCTCGGGAAAATTTTAGGAAACACTCCGAAAAAATTTTCGGAGTGCGTGGCTGACGCCAGCACCTTCACTAGAAAAAAATTTTTGTCGCCCCCCCCCCCCCCGAGCCGAAATCCTGGTAAATCCACTGATATGAACGTCTGATGTGGAGAGTATATCCATAAGCAAGTTTGGAGTAGGTAGGATATCTTTGGACGGAGATGAGATTGTTTTTAATTTTTCGGGCATATAACTTTTTAGATACTCCTTCAAACCCGATGCGGAACAAATTTGACGCGTATGCTCAAAGCCCATCTGGTAAAGCTCCTGCTCGATGGAAAAGCATGATACCTATGTATGAAATAGAATTTCCATGAGTTATTAGGGTTAAAAGTCAAAATTGAGGAAAAATTCATGTTAAGCCTGATATATTGAAGCGAATTGGCCTTGCTACTCCTATATATTAGGTTGGCCCGAAAGTTCTGTCGCATCATTTTCAAAAATCCACAAATTCTGATTTTCCCAACCAATTCGACTGCTTTTATTTTCATATAAAAGAGTAAGTCGAGCCCTTCAGAAAGACTTTTTAGCTGCTTGCGAATGATCATCTCTGTCGCGGATTGCGCGACTTCTTCAAGGAGTCCGCTTCTCGTGCGCGAAGGGGTCCTAAAACGCCAGTCCTCGCGCTCTGCCCCGCCCTCTCGCTCGCTACTTATGCCGCAACTCACCTGCTCAAAGCCACGTACGCCACATGTGTCTACTCGCGAGCGGTCGGCTTCAACTCAGTCCAACTATCGATCGATCAAGCAGCAGCGCCGTTCCTCAACTCATGCGAAGACCATCACCACGCATGGAGGACTGGCCCGACGCCTCGAGGTAACCCGGTTGGTGCTTCTTGCTTGCCGCAGGGCAAAGGAGTACCTCCGCGGGGGGTTTTCTTTCTATCGGCCCCTAGGTAACATCTGGCCGGCGTGTTCTCTTCCTATTGTATTGAGTTGTTTGTGTGTTGGTGAAGATCCGGATAAATGGTGGGCACCTTAGAGTCCTGGTGTTTTGGTACGAGTGTTGGGCTTAGGGCTTAGGCCTTAGCCCCAGGAATATCTGTATGCTGTTCATGTTTGTTGTGGTTTTATGATGTGTTGCGTCCTGGAAGGTTCCATCAGTTGGAGGACAGGCACGATTCTAGATAGTGCCCAAGTTGCTGAGGATCCACAACTGCCAACATTGTGGAGCAGCTTGAGAAGCTGGCAGTTGAGATTGGGGGTTAGGTTGGTAGCCTAGGGCCACTAAGGTGCTAGTGTATCCGTGTTTGGCAGGCCATAAGAGCGTGGCGCAAGCTTGCTACCTTTCCCCGAGTGTCGCTGTTCTATTTCACGGATGGTGTTCTCAGCTCCCCTCGCCGATGCAGGAGAGCACGATACCACTGACGTCTGGAGCTGAGGGTCCCAATCCGCGACATGGTGCATCGAGACGGAGTTAGGCATGGGGATAGTAAACCCATGTCTAGCTTTTGTGATCGGACCTTGCTTGCGTATGCCCGCAGATACACGTTTTTTTCGCATGTTGGCGTCCCTAGCTAGCAATGCAAATTCTAGTTTAATCTCCCCCTTTTCAGGTGTTTGCACAGTGTATACATATTTGTGTTTTTCGCCTTTCCATTAGATCGCATCCTTCATGCACTAGCCGGATCCGATGAGACTGGGCTGACGCGAGTGAGCGACTACCGCCAGTACACTTAGCTGAGAGTAGGGTGATCCCTCACATGCCTTGAGTGGCACAAGCCGTGTGATATCTGCCTACTGTCCGTGCTGCCGGTGCCCTCTGGTGACCAGGTTTTTCTGCAGACATCGAGGCCCTTGGTAGGCACTAGCTCTGTCCGCCTTGAAACACGTCATCAGGCCTGCGGAGGAATCGCCTACTGTTATTGGGATGGGTATCTCCCCTAAAACTTCATCGCCACCACATTTATGCTCGCATTTTGCAATCATCTTCGTCAACGGGATCTGCCCCGCGTTGTTGTGGTTAAACCTGCCTAATTTCCTGCTTAGCAGTCTCGCTGTTTGTCTATCACTGTTGGCAATGGCATCGGGTGCTTTAAGGTCCTTTGTTTTTTGCTTGACGCTCGTTTTCTTACCTTTGACTCTTTGTGCTCATCATTTGTGTGAATACAGTCGCGAAGCATTCACACTCCCTTCGAATGCCTTCACATATCTCAATTACAGAGGTTACAGAGGTCGAGTCCACAGATACCATCATCCCCAACTTTACCGAGTGCGACGTCATCGATCGATATGGACCAATTGCGAAATCCCATGGTACTCAAGTCATCGAGTCCAACGAGGATGAGGAAGTCGACAGGAAGCAGATGAGTTCCAGCTTTCTTCTGCGCTACTATCAGACCCTCGCCAGTGAGCAGTACGATCAGCTCTAAGAGTTAGACACCTTCACAACTTCCTGTAAGTAGACTGAGACTTGTGCTTTACATCTGCGCGAACGTCGAGTTTACGTCTATATTGTGTCATCATCGCGATCGACGGATAGGTTTCTGTATGACGGATTTGGATAAGTGGCATAGTGCCTGATCAACACTAGAGCTTCTTGCCATTTGTGGAATATGTAGGAAGCGCGCAGCACAGTCAAAGTCTTTGTACTTGTTATTTGTTCGCCTTAATGCCACCTGCGACAGTAACGAGGCAATCAGTCGAAGCTGTGATTGGTGACGTTCCCCCCAGTGACACGAACGTATCTTCACAGATGACTGTACCTAGTGTCACATTATTGCTGAGCATTGTGCAACAGTTGTAGCTTGGGCTCACACAGAATGTCCTTTTGGCCTCACCTCCATCGTAACACTTAGCAATCCATTAGGAAAGAGCTAAGTTGTGGTCCTTGGATGGACATGTTACCAAATCTTAGCCCTTCGGTGTGCGTTTAAGTAGATTGTGCACAATGAACAGCATCCACATGTAACATCTCTGTTGGCAAAAATTGTACGTGGAAAGTGCTAAATTGGTGTTGAGAGATTTCAAACCAACTCGGAGTCGAGGTGCACGTTGCGGAACCAATACAACGGAGGATTCGAGCTTATTCCATCAACAGCTCAAGGAATTTGATGGCAATCGCATTGGTTCGGAACCGACGTAGCATTTCCTTATGAGTTTGGGAATCCTCATACCATTGAGCGCTTCGAAGATCTTCATCGATTTCTTTCCATCATCGATTTGAGGACTGCGGATTCAATTTGACATCTAGGAATGCATACTCGAACTAGATCTTCGACAGGTTATGTATCACCTTCGTAATATCTTCGAGGAGAACTTTGAGCATACCTGTTCCCATGGTACCTTTGTTGTCAATAGAGATGTCCCACAGCACTCTTAGTGCCTAGTTTTTTAGGGTTTCGTACAGGACAATGCGACTATCCATCTCGTAGAGGACCTGGAAGTCAGTGTCATCGACGTCTCTGTAGATTTCCGAAGAAAGAGGAATGCACCCGAGGACGTCATCGTCATCTCCTTTATTGGTTGTCGGAGTCGTCATCGGAGACACAACAAGCTGCGGAAGGAAACCATCAACCTGGAGAATCCTCGGATTTGGAAGATCTAGCACGGGATAGTAGAAGATCTCGAGACTATCCTCGTGATTGTCACTATCAACCGCGCAAACATAGAGGATACTGCAGCAAGCTGCACACAATCGTTCCTTCTTTGCCGGTACCCGTACAACACCATCGTCGGGATATCATCAGTCTTCTACATCAGATGCCGGAAACATCGAGGACGTTGTAAAACGCCGAAGTGGATATGTGAACTTTTGTCCCGTACATTTCGCCCTATATACCCCACAGGACTACCACTAGTCCCAGATTTCTAGTCTTACAGCTCGCCCACATGTTGCTACTGTGATTCCCTGCTCTGTTCGTTCCATAAACGTGGTCAACAGACTGATTATCACGCACCAGAAGATCGTGCAGTCTTTGGGTCTAAGGGCCTTTACAATGGATTGTTCGTGGATGCGGCTGAGAAGATCTCGCTCCTTGATAGCCAGATGATAGACCCAAGGACCACCCTCGGAAAGCCGCTACTCTTCATCCTTCCAAGAAGATCAGAAGGTACGGTGTAGGATTTGGACTTTGTTTCCTAATCGTTATCATCACCTGCGTGGATAGAAGGCTATTGTGGAGAATTAGCTTTTCGAATTTACGTCTGGCTTGTGTTTATCGTTCCTCGGAGAGGTTTATTATACCATCTACCTTTATCGGAACATTATGGAGGAGAGGATCAGGATTTTAGACTGCTAAAGAGTGTAATTTTGTCAGTACTGTTGAACACCGAAAGTCACGATAACATCCAGTGATGCCCACAGAATCCGTGGTAGTAACGAATAGGTTAAGAGCTGATGAGACTTCTTTGGGTTTTTGAGTCCCTTGTGGCTTATTGTGTCTGGATCGCTTCGTTGGAATAGCCAAATGACTAAGAAACCCAAATGATTACCCCACGCTTGTAGGAACGCTTGGTTTGCGCATCCCGGATGATGTGGTGAACAAGTGTTGCTACTTGCGCATGTTTCAGATTTGAGCGATCTTATACTGCAAGGCACGATTTGGCATCCAGAGACTTCGCATTTTGACATCTTGTTCGACCACATTTTTTTCAGACTCCTAGGTTATACTTCATCGGACTAATTCGATCGAGCCAACGAAGTCATCTGCCCACAACGACGTGAACCTTCCATCGACATCGGTCACACTGTTTTGCTCCTGAAGACAATCTATGGACAAAAGGCGCTTGGTCCGACGGTGGAGACAATTTTCGGCCGTGCATATTGGATTACCTTTCGACAATCGATTGTGGAAATCGAAGATCGTTGTGGACATTGCAACCCTGCTAATAATACCAGAGCGGGGTTAGGAGTTGCGATGTGATGCAAGTTGCGGTTTGCTGCCCTTGGAAAAACCGACTTTGCCTTGTTTAGGATTGTTGATCTCTCCACATTCGTGTTTGAACATAGTCCTCACGAAACTTCTGGATTTCGTCTACTTCGTTTGCCGTCAACATCATCGCAAGGAGTACCGCCTGGGAGACTTTGCTCATACACGAACACTGTATAGATTCCACAATGTCTATGTGAACGTTTTTGCCTTGAGCGATTCAAACGCATACGGCGAAAACACTCACTAGATACCTAATCTCACTAAGCACGCTCTCTATACCACAAATGCCCTGGATTTGTAATCCCACAGACCCATACTTCCTACTACGTCTTATACCACTATCAAGCCCCACCATCAGGAGATTTATGGGCTTCGATTCGATCGCTAGGTATTGCGCTATAGATTGTCCCCCTTCTTTGCACTGATTACATCAGTTAGTTGTCGTCATCTGAATGGCAATTACTCGAGAACAACGAAACGACTGTGGAAGGAACGGATTTTTGGGTGCACGCAACTGGCCGCGTGATTGCAAAGATGTGACAATTGATAATTGTGAATCGTCACTCAGCATACTATCCTTTCCCCACCTTTCAGCGATTTCGTGACGACAGTTAACACCCAAGTGTCAATTGTGGCGACATTATCGATCATACCTATCTGGAGGAAGACGCTGTTAACACCAAGCTGTCTGTACTTGATAGATGGATAACATCGGCAGATGTGTCGCCAGGAAGTTTCTTTTGATACGTTCGTCACTCGTTTTAGCATTTACAGGACGATGGGAAGGTTACTGCTGAGAAAGATCCTTGTGGATACGTAGGAATGGAACAGTTATTCCCTTGGCGCATAACATCTAAACGACGAGAGGATATTACCGCGATTTGTGGTCCATTTGATCCATTTCTTTTGAACTCTATCGTCATAGCCCCACAAGTGTACGATTCACATAGTCACATATGCCTAAGGTTACAATCTTATCAACTGCGCAGAACAACTAGCTCACAGAATGGTGGAAAAGGGAGGTTGTGGTCCAACTTTGTATTTTCGATGATTACACTTCATTGCACTTCAGCAGAGAGTGTTTAGTGAATATATTACTCTATTCCACAGGGATGCAGTCTGTGGTGAAGACGCAGCCCCCTAAGTCCACAAGCGCCTGATAGCGCTCTTCTTTGTAACTGTCGCGGTTTCGCATCGCCTTTGGGCTTACGCGTTTTCGCTTGACTTGTGTCGCACCCCACAGAGCACGATATTTATCGCGCTCCTCCACGCGTCGATGAAGTGTGAAGGTCCCGTCGCGATCGTCATACAGTCATCATGTGCAAAGATTGCACCATGTGGCTGTTAGTTGTGATTTTTCTACTTTTTCGTCTACTGTGCTTTCCTTCTTGTTTTCTTTGCCTCTTTCTTCCTTTTTCACTCTATTGTAGGCCACGTCTTTCATTTGTCCTTCGTTTTTATAGTTTCTTGCTTCCTTTTCTATCTTTCTAACCAAAATTTTGATGGCTCACACCTTTTTGGATATTATTCTCTAATCTCCTTATATTCATTCATTCTTCTCTCTTCATTTTCTCCCCTTCTTTTATTCTTGCGCTAGTTGTGCAGGTAAGCTTAGTTGCGAAATCTAACACATCAGGCACGCTATTTTATCTACACACGTAGCTCACTTTTCATTCACTCTATTTCTCATATTTAGTTTTTCAACTCTTTCTCTTTTTCCTTGCATGCATCTTATTTCTTTACTCACACCTTTCTCTATGACCCCGCGCGTCGCCACCCACTAACATCCACAAATGTCATGGCCTGTCCTATATCCTCTTTATCTAATCAACACCTTTTTTCTTCGTCTTTATTTTCTTACCTTTGCTCTTGTTCCCTTTCCTCTCTCCTTTCATTCTTTATTCTTTTACTAACCCTTGAATTTTGTCTGTTGGGGTCATTGTGGCGCGCCTTCCCTTTCCTCTATTCATTCTTTCTCCTTCTTTCAGGGTAAAGCGATAAAGTAGACCAACCATCTACAATATGACGATTTGGCGTACAAAGACGAAGAGAGGCGAACCATCGAAGTCCCACAATACCGAGGACGGAAGAGATCTTATTCGAGGTCGCCATCAACTTCATTGGAGAGGAAGCCGGCACAAAGGGCAAAGCCGAGCGAAAGCCCGGCTCAGTCCGAGCTGCTAGCTGAGGTAATCCAGGAGCTTGCGATCACGCGAGCTCCGGAATCCTCTCGCCCCACAGATGCAAAACCTCCAGTTCCCGAGGAAGCCCACACTCGAGCACCCACCATGCTCGAGCTTATTTCAGCTATAGCGAATGGACGCGACGTCACCGGAGACTTCCCGTTCCAGGCCGAGGAAGATCCAAAGACGATTGTAGTGCCGAGAGAGTATCGACCAGCTGTCCAATTACTCCATCAGATCACCATGGCACTCTCGACGGACTACATCTTCAGTTCGGCGCAGCTGAGTCACGCAGATTTTGTCGCTCTTGACAATTTCATCCACAAGGACTTCTTCGAACAGGTTCAGGTTAAGTCGATCCATCCGCAGAAGAGGAAGGAGTTCGGAGATAGTTCATCACACTTGAGTGCTCTACTCATTTCTGGCTCTATGGAAGGACTTGTGCATATGACCGCAGATGCCACCAACTATCTGCAGGAACTAAGTCATAGGCCGCAGCCAGGTCCAGAAGATATTACCAACCGTATGGACATCCTCTTCACGAATATCTACAACATCAACTTCCGACGATACGAGATCCTGAGAGAAGTCATGCGAGTATTGTACCTGAGACCTGAGCAGATCCAGTCCAGACTTGATCCTTTGGCCAAATATGACATCACATCCCGCAAGTTGGAGGCTACCATTCATGCAGCGAACTTGATCGTAGCACAAATGTCAATTGTGCATGAGTGCTACCGTGTAGTTCTCAAGGAGCAGCTGCTAGCCAGAGGTGTTGTAGACCCCATACTACTACCACCACCAACCACAGTGACTCCAGCCGCACCGCAAGTTCCGAAGCCACGGAAGAGGAAGACCAAACCGAAGTCACAGCTGGTACAGGCACCTAAACTTCCACCACCACAGCCGCCACCTAGCATCCTGCAACACACGGTTCGGGAGTTGCTTCAGCGGCCCTCTGCTTCCACAGCATACTCTGACCTGCAAAGGGCGCTCGAAGCCATCGTCCATCAGAAAGGTTCGACAGTGTCATCAGTCCCTTCTACGCCCCGACAACGCCCTGGCGCCCCCCAGGATGGGGCCCTACCGCCCATTTCCCAAAGGCAACCTGAACGGAGAGGACAGTCCAGGAGAAGAACTCCAGAACGGCGTGCAGGCCGACGGGCAGAGGAAACCACTCGTTGTCACTTCTGCAAGGAACGACATTCGCCTTCGAGATGTGACGTCTATCGGCGACTGAGTAGGAAGATGGAGTTGAACGCGACACGAGGAGGTTGTTTCCTTTGTTGTGCCAAACATGCTGAGGAGGACTGTCCCCACCGCGGAAGGGAATGCAGGAGATGCAAATCCACGGAACACGAAACGTCTTTCTGCTTCGAGAACCCGCATGAAATTAACGATATTGGTCGCTTGGAGTATGGTTTGCATCTCGAGCAGTATAAGGCCTTAGCGGAAATGAACAGGCGAGGGGCAAAGATCAAGAGATCGCCTCGCAGGTAAGTTGCCTTTTCCACATTTTACGTTTTACCTCACTTGTCTTTCTTATTCCTCAACTTACGGTTTTTGGGGTGAGCCTTAAGCTCACTCCTTTGTTTTTTGTCGTCAACTTTATTTTAGGTTGACACTATGGAGCACTCATGGAGAGTGCTGCCTTTTGGTTCCCCCACTATGCTGATCTACCCACAACTCACGGTTTTTTAGTTTTTCTTTTAGTTTTGCTTTGTTTTATTTTTGTTTGTGTTATTTTTGGCGGACCTTAAGTTCGCCTTGTATGCCGCTGTCAACTTTGATTTAGGTTGACTACGATGTCCACACTCTCCATCTACTTGCTACCACAACTTGCGATTTTTGGGGCCACGGAGGGAGACCGTGTTGACTCTTTTTGGATTTGGGATTCCCTTCTTTCGCATCTGACTTGACCCTGGGTTCTTTTGCGTCGCGAGGAAAACTCTCCCCCTCGCTATCTAAATTCCTTCCCCCGGCGTGAAAACCCGCGCCACGTAGGCTAAATTAATACTTTTTGATCCTTCGACGTCGTCACCTGCTCTCGTTCACCAATGTCAAGCCGCTGTACGTCAACGTCAATCCGAAGTCCACGTCAACGCCTGCTCATGGTCGAATGGTCCAGATGCGATGCTCAACTGCTGAAGAAGACCCACCAGATATCCAACGTAGCGCCCCCGACGACTCTTCTTGCTTACCCACGAGGCAGCCGGCTGTCACCGCGACAGGATGTAGGCCCGCGCGAACAACCTAGGGTTTCTTGACTCGTAGGTTGTTGTACGTTTAACTCGTAGGGTCGTAGGTGACGTGGTAGATCGAGGGCCTACCTCGGAATCTTTTTCTTGTTGCCCGGAGTGTCGCGGATTGCGCGACTTCTTCAAGGAGTCCGCTTCTCGTGCGCGAAGGGGTCCTAAAACGCCAGTCCTCGCGCGCTGCCCCGCCCTCTCGCTCGCTACTTATGCCGCAACTCACCTGCTCAAAGTCACGTACGCCACATGTGTCTACTCGCGAGCGGTCGGCTTCAACTCAGTCCAACTATCGATCGATCGAGCAGCAGCGCCGTTCCTCAACTCACGCGAAGACCATCACCACGCATGGAGGACTGGCCCGACGCCTCGAGGTAACCCGGTTGGTGCTTCTTGCTTGCCGCAGGGCAAAGGAGTACCTCCGCGGGGGGTTTTCTTTCTATCGGCCCCTAGGTAACATCTGGCCGGCGTGTTCTCTTCCTATTGTATTGAGTTGTTCGTGTGTTGGTGAAGATCCGGATAAATGGTGGGCACCTTAGAGTCCTGGTGTTTTGGTACGAGTGTTGGGCTTAGGGCTTAGGCCTTAGCCCCAGGAATATCTGTATGCTGTTCATGTTTGTTGTGGTTTTATGATGTGTTGCGTCCTGGAAGGTTCCATCAGTTGGAGGACAGGCACGATTCTAGATAGTGCCCAAGTTGCTGAGGATCCACAACTGCCAACATTGTGGAGCAGCTTGAGAAGCTGGCAGTTGAGATTGGGGGTTAGGTTGGTAGCCTAGGGCCACTAAGGTGCTAGTGTATCCGTGTTTGGCAGGCCATAAGAGCGTGGCGCAAGCTTGCTACCTTTCCCCGAGTGTCGCTGTTCTATTTTACGGATGGTGTTCTCAGCTCCCCTCGCCGATGCAGGAGAGCACGATACCACTGACGCCTGGAGCTGGGGGTCCCAATCCGCGACAATCTCTTGCATAGATAGGAGCGGTGGAAGAAAATCAGTTAAAATTCGAATTTTCCGTGTAGGGTCATAAAAAATCGGAAACTTGCATTAAAAATCGGCAGTCAGTATTGTAGGTTCTTTCGTCAGCTCTTTCTCGCTCATTAAAACCCAAAGAACACCAGTCCTAGTCATTTGATTCAGATTTTTATCCTCTTTCTCACAGCTATATTTGCTCTCTGATCTATCCTGTCTTTGCAGTGTTATCGCCATGGCTTTTTAAGCAATTCAGCATCAACGTCAAATTTTTCCTGAATTTTAAAACTTTTTATCTTGATGTTTTCAAAGAGCGCTAATGTGACTGTTATGTAGAGCAAATTTTTGACTACATTGTGTTTATTTTAGATTACATGAGCCACGTTTATCAAGTCCGTTATTATTTACTTAAGAAAAACCGCGGTTTTTTGATTACGTCTACCAAGCTGGTTTCTGAAACCAAGTAAACTTGGTTATGTTGCATAAACAATGTTTATTAGCAATCAAGCTTCGATTCGCAGAAACTGCAAAAGGTTTCATGTTTTTGCTGCATGCGTGTTTCATGACTTTGCCAAAAATCGAGACTTCCAAAAAAAACAATTTTTTGAAGCTAAAAACAGAGGTTGGTGAATTCAAAAAATATCACCGTTTAGTCCAAGATTTTTTTGATTTGTATCATGCTTAATCACCTCCGAAACAATGGAATGAAAATTTCAGAAATTAGCCTAACTTTGAGCGATAAAATGGCGGGTGAAGAATTGTAAAAATTATCAAAAAAAAATCATACAGGATTGTTGTTCATAAATGTAACCATAAAAAAGAGAAGGAAAAGCTGCATCGAATGCATGTTAAAACTCATTCAGATGTTTATTGTGATAGTTTTAAAGCGGTTTGAAAAACCGACAAAACTTTCGGGACGGACCACCTAATATTAGGTTGTTACGTAAGTCTTGTTACACTTTAACTTTTTAAGGCGATAAGTCATACACTTCACATTCTTTACAGGGCTGCAGGGCACCATTCGACAGAGCAAAGCAAGCTCAAGATACTATACAAAAGTTCGCGCTAACTTCGACCCACTGTAAGTTTGCATACAAAATCTGAGTCGTACTGAAGGCTCAAAAAATCATATCTGTTCAAAATCCTACGAATCTCCAACTTGCTCACAAAAATTGCACTCTATATCAGACACTCATATGTACCTTTGCTGTATCTTTTCCTCATCTAGAAATTAAGAAAACGGAATTTTTCGTGTTTTTACAAAAACAGAGCTATGCTGTTTCTATTCATGTAGCTGTAGATTACACGCCCTTGGAAGTATAACCGTAAATTTTCAGCTTTCCATAGGCTCTGATTAACGAGAAATACCGAATTTAGCCTTTTTCACTTGGGTGTTGAATGCTTTATTAGGTAATTTTCGAAAACTAGGGCTTTTGGAAAGCTAAAAATTTACGGTTTCACTTTTAAGGGCTTGTAGTGTACAGCTACATGAATAGAAACAGCATAGAATCGTTTTTGTAAAAACAAGAGAAATTTCGTTTTCTCGATTTCCAGATGAAGAGAAAGTACAGCAAAGGGTACACATGAGTGTCTGATGTAGGGTGCAATATTTATGACCAAGTTGGAGATTCGGGGGACTTTTTGAACAAAGATACGAATTTTTCCCGACTTTTTGAGCCTTCAGTACGACTCAAATTTTGTATGCAAACTTACAGTAGGTCGAAGTTGGTGCGAACCTATGCGGACCTTCTTGTAGAGCTTGCTTTGCTCTATCGAATGGTATGTTGTAGCCCTGTAAGGAGTATGAGGTGCATGACTTATCACATTAAGAAGTTAAAGTGTAACAAGACTTATGTAAGCCTAATAGATATGGAGAAGCGCAACATCACCCGCAATTGATTGATTCTGCTAGAAATGTGTGCTTGAGCTACTTTTTATTCGGGGAGTTTTTAAAGTTTGATTATGTGCTACTGCTTATGCTTGACAAAACACAACGTGTATTGAGAGTGTGACTATGATCTCCTGACTGCGTCATCCGGAACTTCTTTTTTTGATTCCAGGTCATTTTTGTTCATTCTCGATCATTGACTACATCTTGAGGTGATAAGATTTGTACGAGTAGTCAAACCGGAGACGAGTGGCCATGTTGTACTAGTTACTCAGATAAAGCGCTACATACTTTGATACATCCAATTCCATTGCATTTGCGATTGCTGTAGTTCCAACAGGATGCACTATTGTTACTTTCCAAACTGCCTTAAAGTCCGGTTCGTCGAAACAGGGAACTAACTTTCGGGCACTTGTAGGCTCCATTTGAGTAACAGCCGCAATTCTGGTAGCTCAAATAAAAGCACGCTCATGATTATTGCTCAGGAAAATTTGTAACTATTTATAAAAATCCCATGGAATGAGAATACCGAAGGAAGGTTTGACTCTTGTCCTTTGTTCTGCTTAGTCGCCATTTACTTGAAATAAACTGTATTTGTATAAAATTGTCTTACTTTGTTATATTGTTGCTAACGTAGAGATTTTGATAGAGTCCGTAGGTACCATTGAGCACACGCGCTGAGTAGGGCACCTATAGTAGGATCTTATGAGATACCGTGCACATCATCATTGTCTTTCATTCAAAAATTCTTTATTCTAAGCTTTGTTAAGCTTAGCTGATTATAACCTTCAACGTGACACATTTTTTACGCTTATTTTGGAAGAGTTCTATCCAAAGGCGACTTCAAAGTCGTCGAGCTTCTTTTAAGCCAATTTGCCTTTCTTTTGAAATTACAACTGCTACATATTCAGACTTACAATCAATATTTCCTTAGAAGACGCCTAAAGCTTCCAGATTTCACTAATCATCATCCTATATATATATATATATATATATATATATATATATATATATATATATATATATATATATAGTTGCAGCGGTAGAGTTTGTCCAAAACTGCGGGATCGTCGGGATTCGCGGGATTGTCGGGATTCGCGGGATTCGCGGGATTTGCGGGATAAGCGGGATTTAGC